AGTGTGATTTTCCTTTCATCCAACTCATTGAATTGTTACCTTTTCATTCCCAATCCCAAGACCGTAAGTTTCGAATTGGTAGGCTAGGCTATGGTGACTGGTGAGGGTTCTTTATTGATATAAATTCTGTTTTATTTCTTTATCTTCTTATTTCCAGTTCCAATTGTAGAGTGTTGAAGCCCCTTTTTTCCAAGTGTGTAAAGAATGGAACGTGTAGGTTACCCATTGCTATCGATTTGTGATGGTTGCATGCATTTTCTGGTTGTGTGGGTAATTTAGGAGGCATTTTTCAGCAGTTGGTCTAGATTCTCATCCACTTTGCTACGGAGATAACTTAATAGCTCCAAGGTTTTTATTGCACTCCGACCTACGCTTACGCGTTGCTAGGTTACCCATTCCATGTCGATGCATTCTATATACACATTTTTCCTTTGCAGATGTCTATCTTCGATAATGACTCTAAGCTCATGCGAGGTTATATAATCTCCCATTCTCACATGCATTATCAACTAAAAGATTGTTTTATTGGTCCATTTTTCTGTATTTGATCACATAGCAGAACATGTGTTACAATAGGATTATCCCACTCTACCAAAAGAGGAAAAAATCCCACTGTACACACGTTCTTAAAAAAAAATTCTCAAAATACATAAGTTATAAAAAAAATTTCAAAACTACACATGTTTGGGCATCACCGTGTTCGACAAAGGCGGTGAAGACTATCACCGCTTTTAATAAAAACGGTGAACATTTCACCGTTTTAAATTAAAACGGTGATGCCTTCACCGTCTTAGTCTAAAACGGTGAAGGCTTCACCGTTTTAAAATGAAACGGTGAAGCTATCACCGTTTTAGTTTAAAACGGTGAAGCCTTCACCGTTTTTATTAAACGCGGTGAAGGAGCTGACGTGGACAAACGCGGGGTATTCACCGCGTTAGACAAACACGGTGAATACACCGTGTTTGTTTACGTCAGCGATCCGCGCCGATATCCTTTCACCGTGGCCATTGGATGCGGTGAGGCGCGGATCGTGGTTTTCCTCCCACGATCCGACGCCTCACAGCACGCCACGTCGCCTCTTGCGGGACCGTTTTCGGGAAGGGCGATGCCTTCACCGCGTCCCTCAAAGACGGTGAAGGCTCTCCAATTAAATGCTGCGCAGGCGCCTCCCCCCTTCCCCCAACTATAAATACCCCTTCCCCTTTCACTTTCAACTCACCCCACAAACATTTCACTTCTTTCTCCCTCAATTTATCCGCTCTAGTCTCGTTCTAAGTATGCTCTGTGGTTGCGGCTAAGTCCGATCTTCCACATCAGAAAGTATTACTAGAGTTTGACCCTAAAGCCCCCGTCCCTTACAAACCTAAAATCGTCGAACCTCTGTCCGGCCTACGCCAAAAAATGGACGAAGAGGCTCTTCGTGTAGGTTTTTGGTTTATGAATTTTTTTGAATCGAAACAATTTGATTTTTTGTTTTTTTATCAAAACAATCTCTGATTTCATTACTTTTTTATAGATGGGTGCCGAGATATACGATCCTCGATTGTATATCCATTATGGCCCAAGGGATGCGAGTCTCTTAACCGATCAAGAAGCTCATCGCTCCCGTGCTATTTGGGATAACTATCCGGTAATTTTTTGAGTATTCTTGCTTTATTTTATTATTTTCTAAGGTTTTATTTTGCTTTATTTAATCTAATAAATTGTTATTTTCCCTATTTGTTTTAGGAATCGCTTGTTCCCGTGGTTCATAAAGGGACCAATAACTTGCCCGCTTGGCATCCAAGGTTGGAGCCCTACATAGCGATGACCGGTTTGGGAATGTTGCGCCATTTCTTGCGGATCGAGATCGACAACGATCTGCTTACGGCAATGGCGGAACGATGGCGTCCCGAAACCCATACATTCCACCTTCCGGAGGGGGAAATGACGATCACCCTCAAAGACGTGGCGATCCTCACCGGGCTTCCTATTTCTGGAGATGCAATCATTGGTTCCACGACCAAACCCGAAGGAGGTTGGGGGCCGCTCATACGTGATCGTTTGGGCTTCGACATGCCGACCACCACACCAATTCAAGGACGGGGGCATCCACCGTTGAATGCGGGGCAAGTGTCGGTCTCGTGGCTGGTATCTCACATCCAGCAAGAGGTGGAAATCAATGACGAGACACCGGAAGAACAAGTCGAGCGCTACGCCCGCATCTACCTCATCGGTTTGGTGGGTGGATTTTTGTTCCCCGACAAGTCCAACCGGTGGATTCAAGGCATATGGTTGCCATTGCTCACTGGTGACTGGGATGCAATTGGAGAGAAGAGTTGGGGATCGGCCGTGCTAGCGGGCGTATACCGGGAGCTGTGTACTTGCTCGAAGGTTGGGGCAAAGCAAGCTGGTGCTGCGATGTTCATCCTGCAACTGTGGGTATGGGAGCATCTCCCGATGTTCGCACCTCCCGACCCACGTCCATACCGGAGAAACGATGATGAACCCAACTTTCTGCAAAATCTCCCCTACGATGTCAAGTAAGTTTATTTCGTACTTAGCCCAATTTAATTTTGATTGTGTACTTAGCTAGATTTAAATTGAATTTATTCCGTACATAGCCCAATTTAATGTTGATTGCATGCTTAACTAGATTTAAATTGAATTTATTCCGTACTTAGCCCAATTTAATTTTGATTGCATGCTTAGCTAGATTTTAATTTTATTTATTACGTACTTAGACCAATTTAATTTATTATATGCTTAGCTATATTTCAACTAAATTGAATCCGTACTTTTACTTACAAGGTGGATAGGAGCAAATACGAATGACCATCAACCTGAGCATTCGTTATTGTTTTATCGTTCTGAGTTAGATAAACCATGGTGGAATCAGGTAATCATATTTTGTCCATATTTGAACAAGTTAAATTTTGTCAATGTAAATGGTCATTAATTCCGAATTTTTAATGAATATAGGTATATGGATCCATATCCACGTGAAGTGGGTGAGCTGCATCATCTTAGGCACCCTCTGGATCACGAGACGTGGTTGTGCAAAGTGCCATTGATCTGCTGGCACATGGTGGAATGGCACCTACCCGATCGATCTTTGAGGCAATATCGAATGGAGCAACCAATTCCACAAGACCCGCCAGCCGGTTTTCAGGGAGCTACATGCTATTGACCTCCGACACACTGCAAAGAACTGGGTGCTAAAGCATGGATTCTACATCAACATCTGGGAGAATCGGTCCCAATGGGTGGTGCAAGGGATGCCGGAGACGAGACCGATGGGCTACCACGATGGGTACATGCAGTGGTATCGGAAGTTCACCATGAGATGGGTGTCAAAGCAAGGTGCTGTGATGGGGTCGTTGGTAAGTCATCCTAATCTCCCTCATTCAAAAGTCTATTTATTTTAAGGTTTAGTTAATTTGATAAGATAAGTGCTTTCCTTAGGTTGATGGTTTGGAACATGCCAAGTACACCCTCGAGAGTGCGCCAACCATGGATGAGCGGAAGACTAATTGGTTGACCCGACTTATGAACAAACCTCCTGAGTTGTACAAGAGAGCAAAGGAGGTATGTCGTGGCCTATCCTCCCGTTCCTGCCCCGGCACGACCCTCATTCCGTGATGATGCACCCATTGTGCCCCGGTTGAGCCCCCACGAAGGAGCAAACGCAGGCCTCTACCTACATTCGATGAGGTGCGTACAACTCAAGAAACCGAGATCCCTGAACCGTACGAGTACCAGTGGGCACCTACAGCGGAAGCCGGTGGAGGGTCTCGAGTCGTGGAGCATCTCAGGAGTGGGACACTTCTCTCATGGGTTCTCTCAATTCCAACATCAGCAACAGAGTTCGATGTATCAGACCCCGCAACAACAAAACCTCCGCAAACCTCCGAATCATTCGCCAAGCTACCGCTCCCATCTCAGCCACCACCACCACCATATGTACCCCAGTTGGGGCTCGGGTCAAGAGAAAATCCGCGACCAGCCGTTGAGCAGCCCGCCAGAAGTACAGCGGCGGAAGGGGAAGAAGGGGTCGAGACGTCCGTGGAGGACGAGGAGGAAGAGGTGGAAATGGGGGCCCAAAATGAAGCAAATGAGTGAATTTATCGTTTAAGTCATTGTAGTGAACTATCCATGTTGTTTTTTGTGCTTTTTAGGTGTTGTTATTTGAGTTTGCATTGTCTAAAAACTATCCTACGCACTTAAGTTGTCGAATTAATTTTCTGGATCATTTTAGCAAGATCAGTATCTCCCCTCAACACGAAACAAAGTTGGGAAAATCAACCACGATCACATAGAATTTTACAGATCCCAATTCCGAGTCCAAACGAGTGAGATAGTGAGTTCAAAGAGTGATCGTATCGTTAAGTATCTTTTGCGTACTAAAAACTAAAAACGCGTGTATCTTATTCATTTGAGGTCGAAATAACGAGCCGTTTGCGGCAGCGCGATCGTATCGACAAGGAGAACATTTTAGAGTTAACATAATACTTGGACTTAAAATGTAAACAGTAATGAATAATTTAGCAGAATACAAGTAAATGCAAATTAAGTTGATGATGGTTGTCCTGGGCAACGCCTCTTGTCGTGACCAGGTTGTCTGCACTAGAGCATCGCTTCGGTCCCCTTCTCGTCCGTTCAACTTGATCCATCTCATTGTGTATCCTTTCAACTCTAGGACGGCCTTTGGTGCGTTTTAGGTGCAACGGTGGGATAATCAACTTTCCAGCGTATATAGGCCAATACGCTTCATCTGACATGGGGCTCAAAGCTGCATTATATGAGTTCCGTATCGCTTGTTCAGTGTAGTAAGGACTCACCAGGCTGTTTCTGTTCATGGTTATTGACTTAGCAACCGCCATTGCATGTGAACAGGGTATCCTTTCGTTCTGATACTTTTGACAAGAACACTCCCCTAATTCGTAGTGCAATTTAACCGTTTGACGATTGTGACCACGTCTCCCTCCACCCCATATACCTGTTTCGACAGTGAATATTCCTTCACTGCGGTCAAAAAGAACAACCTTATGCTTACTTGATTTTTCATCGTTCTTCTGCATTTGAGCGAATACGTCATGTGCTATTGAATGACCTTGCAACTCCCTCCCTATAGCTTGCTGTAGCCGAGCAACTCGCCACTCGTTGACCTTCCAGTAAGACATCTCCACGATGACAGAAACAGGCATCGCTCGAAGACCCTTGTACACATTATTTATACTTTCTCCATGGTTGGTAGTTGCAATGCCCCATCTGGCCCCGTTGTCCATATGGAACGTCCACATGGGCAACTCTTGACCTTCAGCCCATACTGCTCCAGCTCGGTGGGTCTGACGAATTGTTTTCATCTTCTGCTCATACTTTTTTGGTTGATGTGCAACCGCTGAAAGGTGAACAAAATCGAAACTGGTCAATACATGATGAATAACATCAGCTTAATAAACACAAACTTAAATCGCATAAGAAAAACATTAGTACCTGCATTCCAAAGTTGATTTTTGATGTCTTTCTTCTTCCCAAATTTGTGCTGGAAATTGGCGAGCCAGTGTCGAATACACCATCTCCATCTCCATCCCCACTCGTCGGGAAAACCACAACATTCCTAATCCCCGCATGTCGATCGGATATAATCGTAATATCTTCCCGCTGTGTCACGTGTTCGTGTAGTTGGTCAAAGAACCATGCCCAACTTAAGCTGTTCTCCCCTTCCACTAATGCAAATGCAAGCGGGAAAATCCGCCTGTTTCCATCAACGCCAGTTGCAATTAGAAGACATCCTCTGTACTTCCCAGTAAGGAAAGTTCCGTCAACCTGAATAAAAATTTAGGATCTAATTAGTATGAAATTTACGTAACAGAAAATAATACAACATTTAAAATCGGCATCAGTTGGTTCTATGCCTGAATAACCGGTATGCAGAACCCAAAACCGTCAATGCATGGTTTAAAAGCCCAAAAAAGACGATGGAACATCAGCTTATCCTGTACTCGAACTTGATCCTCAGTGTATACATTGTTGTATACTGGGACGAAAACAGTCCCAGGATTGGACTCCTCCATTGCTCCCATAAGTCTAGGGAGTAAAGCATAAGAATCCTCCCAATCACCATACACCTCAGCCATGGCTTTCTGCTTACCATGCCATGCTTTTTTGTACCGTATCGTGTAAGAATGTCGATCCTTCACCTCTGCCATGATAGCTTTCACCTTTGCTTTTAGTTGCCTGTGATCTTGGGAAAGTATAGAAGAGGAGCATGTGTGGATCGTCTCAGCTTTGCGAATCACCCAAGCACCCTTTCTCTTCATATTTGCAGCCCGCAGTTGCCACGTACAACCCTCTGCATCATGCTTGCATATGACATGTAGTTGTTTACTGTCAGAATATTTTACCTTCCACTCGAAATTGCGCCTCAACGCCTCTTCTGTAAAAGCATCCTGCACAGCGTCTTTCGATGTGAACGCCATACCCACCTCCAAATTGGCCGTCGGATTGTACACTGGCAAAGGGACAAACTCGGGGGGATCATTCTGACTATGTAAAAATTGAGTTGGAACCTGTGTGTAATATGGCGTGGGTGCCTCACGAAATGCCGCCTCATCCTCGTTATCATCAGTATCTTCCTCCTCCTCGCTCACTGATCTCAAATCTTCCTCAGTATCCTCGTCGCTCGACTCGAATGGATAGCTCGGGCTAGAAGGATCAACATGACCACGATCACCAACATCGTCCTCTCGCTCATGCGAAGTACGCCCTGATCGAATGTTATTCTCGATTTCAGACCACTCTGGCCCCCAAGCAGGCCATTCAACACCATCGGCTGGTTGAGGAGGTTGCGAGTATTTGTCCCATCCTGCACTACTCGATCCACCGTAGTTGATTGAACCACCACCCTCCCCGTAACCTCCTGTATAACCACCGCCTTGGTAGTTGATTGAACTACCACCCCATTCGTACCCTCCTGCAAAACCATCATCATAAGAATACTGGTGAGAATGAGATTCACCGACCGCCTCGGTCTCAACATACACCTCTGCAAGCCGGACTTGGTTATCGCTTAGGAACTGTAACATCATCGTAACCGCGTCATCATCGTTTATGACAACTTCTTGGAACACGAGCCCGCCAGCACTCATGTCTGGATACCGGTAAGTAATTTTGCCAAGTCTCGTCTGTCCGCTCGTACAAACCCTTTCTGCACAAAGATCACAGAGTTCTTGAAAATTGAATCGGGAATCAATTTTCAGCATAATGGATTCGCCGTCCTCATAATCAATGCCTATGTCAGAGTTTGTCACCCTTCCATTCCACCGAATAGTAAGATGAAACTTCTTGAATTTACCCATATCTACAAATCGAGGATAAGTATCTATTAGCTTAAAGACAGTAAAATTAACCAAAATCATATTGTACAACTAATATTATCCATCTCATAACTAACGAACATAAATTCAACTAACTAACAACAACATAATACGAAAATTAAATCATACTATAACTAACGAACATAAATTCAACTAACTAACAACAACATAATACCACTCGAAATACCATCCTTTAACAAAAATGACATTTATATCACGTAACTTTCGATATGACAATTGTATACCATCCGTTAAGCTTTCTATTAGTAGTTAACAAAAAACATAGTCAACACTGACCTGGCGGCTGATGTGGAAAATTTTCATAAAAATATATTATAAAAAATAAAGAAAACTTTGTATAACCCTGATACTTAACCTGAAAGAAAAATACCCCTCCCACCTAACTTACACCATGTTACGTTGTTGTGTATTGTTTACTTTTTGCAGTAATATAATACTACTCTTTCCTTTTGCATTTAGTTATGTGACATTTAGTTATGTGACCAGCTTATGTCACAAATACTTTTCTATTTTGACACTTTTAACACTTCTCTAAATGACAGAAAAACGTGTATATTGTTGTGACAATCGAAGATGTCAACATTAAATGTCACAATATATATGCTATATTGATACTTCGCTCGTGACACTTCTCTAAATGTCAAACAAACAACTAAGCTATTGTGACGTTTGGTTATGTGACCAGCTTATGTCACAAATACTTCTCTATTTTGACACTTCTTTAGTGACACTTCTATAAATGATAGGAAAACGTGTTTATTGTTGTGACAATGGAAGATGTCAACATTAAATGTCACAATATATATGCTATACTAACATTTCACTCGTGACATTTCTCTAAATGTCACACAAGCAATTAGACTATTGTGACATTTAATTATGTTACCAACTTATGTCACACAAACTTCTCTAATCTGACACTCTTTTATTGACACGTTTCTAAATGACAGAAAACGTGCTTATTACTGTGACAATCGAAGATGTCAAAATTAAATGTCACAATATATATTATATTGACACTTACTATAAATGTCAAAAAATCTTCAAAGTGAATGGTTTTGCTGACCTTTTTTAAAATTGTCTTTAAAAAAATGTCACTATAGCTGTTATTTTTTGTAGTGTTGGAAGCAACTTTGGCTTTACACAAGGGAACTGCTCTTCCCGACCCATTAACAGTACCATTAGTACTGAGGTTGAAGATGGAGATATTGATGCTATGTACCAAGACTAGACTCCACCATAATGCAAATGTTTTGCTACCTTCAGTCGAGGATCTCAAGAGGAAAGAACCGTCCGGATTCAGCGAGTGATGATAGTGATGCTTAGAGCAGTAGATTAATGTCTGTTATTGGTTTTGGATTGAACTCAGTTTGTTTGTTGCTTCTTGACGTTTTTTCAATGCTCTCTTTTGGGGACTGTCCAATCTTTGTCCTTTGTACCTTTCAAAAAAAAAAAAAAAAAAAATCTTTGTCCTTTGTGAATAAATGTCTGTTCCATTTTATTAAATAATTGAGCACAAATTAAACAAGTGCTTTCTGTTGTTTAGCTTTTTCCATTCCAAAACAAAATCTCAATTATGCATGGCGGACACTTTCATATATTTCATAGCTCTAAATGAATTTTTATAATCCTTTTCACTTTTATTATGTAGGGAGAGCTGTAAATCACAACAGATCGGCAATCAAGATTTCAATATCTTTTTAGGCCCAATTGCCCAATCTTAAACACACAGAATTTAGTGTCCTGCTTTGGTATGATTGTTCAAAGTTCAAACCCCCTAGCTAGACACACTAGGACACCACTCCAAATCTCCAATACAGGATTACTCCGCCAAATCAAAACCTTGATCGGCTTAAATTCTCTTACTAATTTCTCCGGCCAACTGGCCGGGTTTACAACTAGTTACATATATATAGTGAACTAAAGTCCTAATAAAACATGCAAGTAACAAATATTACAAGATAATCCTATAACTATACATTAGTTACAAATCAGTCCTCGAATTTATCTTCCTCGGACAAATCCCCCCACAAGCTGGAGAGTATATGTCCAAACGACCCAGCTTGGCCTGCAAAGATTGAAACACAACTACAGGTAGAGATTTAGTAAACATATCAGCCAACTGATTGGCAGAAGAAACGTGTAAGACCTTAATCACTCCATTCAAAATCTGATCCCTAATCACATGACAATCAATTTCTATATGTTTGATTCGTTCATGATTGATTGGGTTATCAGCTAGTTGAATAGCAGAAAGACTATCACAGAATATTGGAGAAGAAGTAGCTAAGTCAATTAAATTGTGTAAAATATATCTTAACCAAACGATTTCACGTGTTAAGCTGGCCATTGATCTGTACTCGGCCTCTGTAGAGGATCGTGAGACAGTCTTTTGCTTTTTAGAGCGCCAACTTATCAAGGAATTCCAAGCATAACACAAAAACAAGTAGTAAACCTTCGTGTGTCTGGACAGCCTGCCCAGTCACTGTCCTAGAAATCCTGCAGAAAAAAGAGGAATCACTAGAAAACAGAAGGCCTTGTCCAGGAGTGCCTTTAATATAGCGAAGAACCCTCTCTACAACATGCATATGTGTATCAGTTGGGCAATGAGTAAGCTGACTCAACTGGTGAACAACATATATGCAAGGTCTGGACGTGTGTTACAAAGATATAACAACCTACCGATTAACCACTTATAAACAGATGGATCAGGAAGGGGATTACCAGTTTTGGCAGACAATTTAAGATCTGGAACATAAGGGGAATCAGTTGGTTCTGCACTTAAGAAACCATAATCTGTTAAAAGATCCAAAACGAATTTCCTTTGACACAACATAATGCCTTTGGTTGATCTTGCCATCTCAAAACCAAGGAAATATTTAAGTTCCCCAAGATCTTTGATTGTAAAAGCAATATGCAACTAAGTTTTAAGATCAGAAATGGCAGAATTGTCATTTTCTGCAAGTATAATGTCCTCTACATATTCCAAAGAAACTCTAAACGAGTTGCAACACTTCTAACGAACATGGAATAATCTGCTTTGGACTGTTTATAACCCACTGAAGTAAGGAAAGTAGTAAGTTTGTGATTCCAATGTCGGCTAGCTTGCTTTAAACCATTAAATACCGGTCCAAACACAATGGATCCAGAAACAACCTCAAATCACTCTTCACTC